CAATACATCCCAATTTCAAATACAATACATCCCGCTTTCAAATACAATACATCCCGCTTTCGAATACGATACGTCCCAATTTCAAATACAATATATCTGGCTTACAAATACAATACATCCCGCTTTCAAATTCACTACATCCCGCTTTCAAATACGATACGTCCCGATTTCAAATACAATATATCTCGCTTACAAGTACAATACATCCCGCTTTCAAATACAATACATCCCGCTTTAAAATACAATACATCCCGCTTTACAATACAATACATCCCGCTTTCAAATATAATATATCTCGCTTTCAAATACAATACGTTCCGCTTTCAAGCGCCTCACCCATACCGGTATCGAGCACACGTGATGTTGGCAGAGAACGTTCTTGGTGACCATAGGCACTAACTCCGTCGCCAGTGCTTCTGATGAATCGTACGTTCGCACTGCACGGGATATTTAAAGAACATGCGGAATAGGAGGGTCAATATTCTCGCATAGTACAACTTCACATAACTACATAGGTATTAACATTGGTATCCTTGGTTCATCTTCACATAGCTAGATAGGTATAGACATTGGTATCCTTAATTCATCGTCACATAGCTAGGTGTGAAGTGACGCACAAAGTGCCGACAAACGTATGTGCAAACATGCATAACCATTTACTCGACGCATGTCAGTGTACGCGCACATGCACCCCTACACACTCAGCCCACCTGCTGAGCTGGGCGACGCTTCAGTCTTCGTGACGGCCGTAGTGGCCGTTTCGGTGTCTGGACTCATCTCTCGTTGGGTACTCCACAGCAGTACTAACGAGACCGTTTCTTCGCTCGCATTGGTCGAGAACCGTCGCCATGGCAACGCGGCGGTATTCCGTACTGAGGTGTTGCTTGATAGTAGCGAATCTCTGCAGGAGGTTGACGGGCAGGGGGTGGCGGTGGGGGTAATAATGAGCGTAGCACTCATGCGCATAACAAAGATACACCGAGGGTACACCTATTAGAGTACTGGCAGGTGGTGATGACTCATACAGACAACAGAGATACACCGAGGGAACATCGAGAGCACTGGCAGGTGGCAATGACTCATAGAGACAACAGAGATACACCGAGGGTACATCCATTAGAGTACTGGCAGGTGTTCATGGCTCATACAGACAACTATTTTTAAACTCAAATGTTAAGACTACCGTAGTACCCCTGGGAGATACATATCCATTCTTTTAAACTCTGCATTATCGATAGTGGTTATACTAGTAGGTGTACCTGGATGGTGGTGGTGTGCTGGGTGCGCCCATATGTTGGCCACTTGCTGACGGTGGTCTCATGCGTGCTTTAGGGCTTCTCGATCGTCCACTTCCAAATGGCTCCGGACTGGGCTTTCCGCCGCCATTTCTATATATAGAATTGATGTAGAATAGGAAAACATTCAAAAGAAGGGACGTATGAGAGATTGTGGATTGAAGGGATGTAAGATACAACTACGTCCATGCATATATATATATCTATATATATATATGCATGTATGTATATATGTATATATTTGTATAAATATAATACATATACATATACATATATTCTATTATACACACACACACACACACACACACACACACACACACACACACACACACACACACAC